CCGACATCCTTTCCGGCTTCCGGGCGCTGCCGCGGGGAAGACGCCCGGGCCCCTCCGGCTCGGGGCCTCCTGGAGACCCCTCTCAGCACTCCTCCCCGCCGGCCTCGCCAAGCGCAGCCTGGCTGCCTCTCCTTCGGGGTCTCGGTTTTCTCGTTCGCGCCCCTCCTCCTCCGTGTGGGGTTGCCGGACCCCACCGCCGCCCGGATGCGGGGGGCCTGGGTACGCACCTGCCAGCCGGCAGTGCCCAGAAGGTGGCCACCTTGTTTGTACAAACTAGGCCTCTCGAAGCGGGGGTCCCCACACCCCCAAACAGGTTTTGCCAGCAGGCTTTCCCATAGGGTTAGTCTCCCACCCCATTTCACAGGTGAGGACATTGAGACAGGGGGGTGAGGAGAGTCAGGATCCACGTGGTACCAGCACCCAGTCCCCCAGCTCCTGCCCTGGGACCCCGCAAACTGTGCTCCCAGCTCCAGGGCTGCTGCAGCTTGTGCAGGTGCCTGGAGGGACACACACCTAGTCACCGGCAGCCTGTCCTGGAACAAGCTGGGCCTCTGGCTTACTGACCCTTTTCCATTTTAATCCAGAAGCCTGCAGCTCGCATTTATAAAGAGTAATAAGGCCGTGCTCACTCCAGTGCCCTAGCCTGTGACCCGGTTTAGAGAGAATTCCTGGCTCCCGCTCCAGACGGTCCTTCAAGCCTGAATGACCCTCAACAAATAGTCTCCTCCCGGAGCTGAGGAGGGGCCCTGGCCAAGGGTGTCGCTGAGTGGCCCCATTGGGACCCATGCCTACCGCCCACTCCCTGGGGGAGCTGGGGCCTCTGGGAAAGGCTACATGCCCACTCTGTGTTGTCCTGCAGGGATCAGAACAGCTTTCTCCATTTCAGATGACTAATTCCAGATGTGTGTGTGAGAGAAAGAGAAAGAGGCTCCCAGTAGATCAAGGTTGGGGAAGGACTCTTCCCTCAAGGGAATTGAAAATAGACTTGCTGATTCAGACACTCGGGCATGGGTGTCTGGGAGCCTCCTCCCTGGTCCTGGGCCCACACTGCCCCACAGAGGTTACTAAGCTGGCCAGATGGTGGAGGCCAGCCCCTCAGCCACCATTGATAAGGGGCCACTAGTGCCCCGCCTTGGCCTCTGCTCACAGTCCGCTGGCTCTGAGGCCTTCAGGAAGGATTCTCAGCCCCCTTCCAGAGAACCTGGGCTGGGCCTTGGCCTGCTGAGCTGTCAGCTTTCAGTCTTGCTGTGTGACCTTGGACAGGCTGTGTTCACCTTGTTGAGCCTCAGATGCCTCACCTGTGAAATGGGTCTTAGAGCCGTACCGTCAGGCCCAAGCACCAGGCACAGACCCCGATTTGCACGAGTGCTGTGTTCCTTTTGAGCGGTTGGTAATGCTCGCCGAGTGAGCCTGGGGCGCATCAAGTGCCTTCAAGGTCTCCGTTCAAGTGTTTGCTGAGACTCAGTGCCCCGGAGTCCATGTTAACTCTTGGCAACTCTCTCTCAGGCAGAGGTCATGCTCAGGCTGCTAACCACAAGGTCAGCAGTTCGAATGCACCAACATGATGTGTGGGAGAAGGATGAGGCTCTGTCCCCTGTCTCAGAAACCCCAGGGCCAGTTCTCCTCTGTCCGTAGGGCCAGTCACTGTGAGTCAGAACTGACTTGGTGGAGTTGTTTTGTGGGTTTCAGGGTGGAATAGAACTGCCAGGAGAGATCCCAGGGCCGCGCTCTTTACGGAAACACACTCCCACCCCCTCCACCCACAGAGGGGCTGGAAGGGTCAAACCACAAACATTTGGGTTAGCAACTGAGTGCTTTAACCACTGTGTCACCAGGGCCCTGGCATCTGCCGAAAATTCCAGCCCTGTCTAACTCCAAGGGCTATCATGGGCTCCTTTGCGTTAGTGGGCAAGCCTCTGTGCCCGGTGTAGTCCTGGGAGCGGAGCCCAGCCTCCTGTGCGGGCTGTGGCGCATTTACTTACCCATGAGTTGGGGTGGGAGGGAGTGCACAGAGAAGGAGCCACCTCGAGTCCCATCCTCAGCATTATGGAAATAGTCACCATTTATCAAGCTGCTGCCACGTCTTGGCTGCTATCTAGAGCATAGACGTTGGCATGCTACTTGGCAGCCAGATTCAGCAGCCAGCCAGCCAGGTGACAAGCCCCGGATGCTGGGGAAGATGCTGACGTGTGTCTAGCAGCTGCTCCCGTGGACCAAGCCCTGCCAGCCGGTTGCGGTTGTCTGGCGGCTGTAAAACAGACTTCCCTGGGTTTGGATTATTACTTGCCACAGAGTGCTCAAAGACATGACACGCTGCCTGGTCCTGTACCATCTTCACCACCGTTGTGTCCTCTGCTCCACTGTTGAGCCACCTTCACTGGGCCCTGTGGGTCTCGTGAGTATTTGGGGGTTCATCTTCCAAGCACGACACTGGGCAGTGGTCTAGGGTCACCCTCAGGATTCTCACTGGCCAGTTTTTAGGCCTTGCTTCCTAGTCAGTCTGGAAGCTCTATGGAAACCTGTCCACCGTGGGTGACCCCGCTGGTATTTGAAATAGCACTGGCCTAACTTCCAGCATCTTAGCCAGGCACAAGCCACCGCAACATGGCCCCTCAGTGCACAGACGGGGAAACCCAGGCTCCGGAGGATGACTTGCCCACGGTCATGTTGGTAATAGCTGCTGTCAGCTCAGTCTCCCATCCATCTGAGGTGTCAACACAGCCTGGGAGTGGCTGCCTCCTGGTGTGATGAACACAGGTGGGGACCCAGGGGGCGTTAGCTACCCAGGCTCAGCCAAGGGCCTCCCTGTCACCTCCTGCTCACTCTTTGTACCTCGATGTCCCCACAAGTGAAACCAGAGACTAGACTATTACAGATCATAAGCCGGCCTTCTCCCAGCAGCTCTGGAGACCAAGAGAGTTAGTTTTAGATGATGAGTTAATTTGAAGGCTGTAATATTTATTTAGAATTACAGTTTTATTTTTGCAAACTGGCAATGAGTTCATGCTGACTCCAAATTCCAAATTTATGCAAAAGCGCAGTGAAGTCCCCTTCCCCCCTGTCTCCAGCCCCCTCCTCAGAGGCAGCTGCTCACTAGAAAGTCCTTGTGCCTTTTCCCATGACCGTCTCTGCATTTAAAAATAAACATGCCTGCGTTCTTCCCCCGCCTTTTTATGCCAAGCGTAGCCACCCTCTCCCGGCTCCAGCTTTTCTCATAGACAGTGGAAGTTTGGAGTGCATGCTCTGCGCATTCACTCTCCCGATGCCTTTTCACTGCTGCATCGAGTTTACATGCCGATAGACCAAGTTGCTTCTCTGGCATGATTACTGTGAGATGCCCTGGGCTCCGTTGCCACACACCTGGTCTGCCTACCCACACTAGCTGCTGTCCAGGTTGCCCCTGAATGGGTGGGGTGGCCTCTGAGGTTGGGTGTAGCTCAGACACCCACCCTTCTCTGAATCTGACCTATATCCCTGGTCCTGAAGGCTGCAGCTCCCCTGCCAGGCTGAACTTAGAGAACCTGGAGCGGGCAAGCCCCTCCACGGTCCCTAGTTTCTGCTCACCTGCCCCTCCCTCTCTTCCTGCTCCAACAGTGGCCCTTGTCTCAGAGGACAGCTTTCTTCACAGTGCGAACTCCACCTACAGAACCCAAAGCAGCTCTCTCCCAGCGGACGAGGAGGCGCTGCTCGAGCAGCTGCTGGACAGCCGGCCGGCCCGCCTGCAGAGGCCCGAGGACCGCTTCAATGGCACCTACATCATCTTCTTTAGCCTGGGCATGGGCTCGCTGCTGCCCTGGAACTTCTTTGTCACCGCCAAGGAGTACTGGATATTCAAACTCCGCAACTCCTCCAGCCCCACCCCCCATGAGGACACTGTGGGCTCGGACATTCTGGTAAGTGGGAGCAGGCAGCCTGGCGGGGGCAGAGGGGGGAGCTTCAGTTGGGGTGCACCCTTGCGGGGAGGTCTGCAGCGTCCTTGGATCGTGGTGGAGCGTGAGGAAGCCGTGTGGAGTTTAGTCAAGAGTCCCATCCGGCCCCGAGCCATGCTTTGTGCTGCCACCCAGCTCGTGCTGGGTGTGGTGGGAAGGATGGGGCGGCAAGCCCGATTCAGCCTTCAGGGTGCTCAGCATGGAACGGGGAAGATGTGGCAGATGGTGATTCGGTGCAGCAAAGTACAAACTTACACAATGGATGGATGGATGGATTGTGATAAGAGTTGTACAAGCCCCCAATAAAATGATTTAAAGAAAACACCCCAAACCTCAAACTCACTGCCATCCAGTCAAAGCCGACTCACAGCCACCCCTGTGGGTTTCCAAGACGTCACTGTTGACAGGAGGAGACAGCCCAGTCTTTCTCCCTTGGAGCTGTTGGTGGATTTGAACTGTCGACCATGGGGATGGCAGCCCAGTGTGCAACCACACCACCACCAGCGCTCCTACAGTACACCCCAGAATCCCAAGTCCGTGGCTCCAGGATCTTGAAGCGGGGTTGCAAACTCGTCCTTCATGGCTGAGTGAAAGCAGAACTTTGTAAAAGTCAAGTTGACCAAAACAGTCAACAGTGACGGGAAGCATGCTGGGCTGACATCATGTTGCTAGAAACTCCATCTTCACTTAGAAAACAAGGGCAGTGTGCACTGAGTCAGCAAAGACGGTGCCCGGCTCCACAGTGGCGGATGAACCCGCCCCTTTGAGTGTGTGTCACTGCCCATGGGCTCCGGAGTCAGGCTCTTTGACCCGGAAGCTACCCCATTCCTCTTCCTGCACCACCTCAGCCAGACTTCAGACATCCAGGTCTGTTCTGAATTGCTGCATCCGCCATGCTGGCACTGATGTGCACAGTCCGAGGTCCAGAGTGGACTCAGCAGTGTTAAAGTCAGCTGTGGGTTACAGCGCAGGGGCTGGAGCAAGGGGGAAGTAGCGTAGGCGGCTCAGGGCAGGTGAGGTTTCTCTGGCAAGGGGACCTCGTTCTTCCAGTCCTAGGTCACCTCACAGTCCAAAGTGGTTCCTGGGGCTCCAGCCATTCACCAGCAAGCAGAACAAAGGGGGAGGCAGACACACCCCTGGCCTGCGAAGTAGCACACATGACTTCAGCTTATATTGTTTAGGTCAGAATCAGTCTTGTGACCACTGATGTTGAAAAGGATGCTGGGAAATGTAAGCTGTATCCCAGACTACCACGTATTCAGCTGAAATGTGAGGTTCTGTACCAGACGCCCTGTAGTCGTTGTAGGCTAAGTGCCAGGCTGCTCACCCCCAGGTCGTAGTTTGAAGCCACCCGCTGCTCTGTGGAGACAGATGAGGCAAGGCTGTGTGCTCCCGTATAGCTGTAGTTTCAGAACCCCGCAGAGCAGCGCTATTCTGTCCAGTGGGGCTGAGAGAACTCAGGCTCACGTCGGTGACAGCATGGTTTGGGTAGTTATGAAGAGAAGGCACCCTGGTGGCCCAATGGCTCAAGCTGCTTTAACTGGCACTGGACAGTCCACAGTTGGAGCCGGCAGCTGCTTGCTCTGCAGGAGAGCGCTGTGGACGTCGGCTCTGAGATTCAGAAACCCCGCGTGGCAGTTCTACTCTGTTCTGTAGGGTCGCCGTGAGTTGACAGCAATGGCTCCGGGTTTGGTTTTGAATGGCAGTAATGAAGAGGGGAAAGAACCTTGTTGGGGATGGGTTGTAGGGGTGCATGGACTCCCTTAGGTAGCCAGTGGATGTGAAGAACCAGGAGGAAACCTTCCAGGTGGAAGGCAGAGCCTGGACGCGGGCGTGGTGGGAGGAAGCATCCGGTGCTGCTGAGGGACAAGCAGCAGAGAAGTGAGCTTGAGGTTGTGCCTGCACCGTGGGTGTCATTGGGGAGGAGACTGGCTGCTTTGGGCTGGCTGTGCCATTTACTGCCCAAGGGCTGCTCACTCTGTCGGTGGACTCGCTCTGCGCCTTGGTTTCTAGAAGCAGCCCAGCTCGGCCTGGGTGCAGGCACTGGACTCCCACAGGTGGGAGAGTCCTCGCTGTAGCCACCTCAGGGTGGAGCGAGCACACTGTCTCTGAAGGAAATGCAAGCTCTCCTACAAGGTATCAAACTGGGGGCCTGCCCGCGAGATCCCAGTCAGATTAGTCTGGTACAGAGTGTGGACACTGGCCCTTCTGAAGCCTGTACCTTCCCCACCCTTGAAACTCAGGGAGACCTCGTTTCAGTTCACCCAGGAAATGGAGCAGGGGTATACCTGTGTCTGTGGGGATGTAGTCTCCATGGCAACCACCACCACCACAACACCTAAAGCCTCTCCTGGTAGCACAGTGGGTTAGGTCGGTGGTTCAAATCCACCACCTACTCCAGGGAAGAAAGATGAGGCTGTCTGTTCCCATCACGATTGACAGTCTCAGAAATCCTGTATAGGTCACTGTTAGGTTTACTCAGAGCACGGTCCAATCTGGGAGCTTGCTAGAAATGCTGCGTCTCAGCCCCGGCCAACCCTCCTCAGCCTGCCTGTTAACAGGACCCCGGGGCTGGACAGCAGGCTTTGAGGAGCCCTGGCTGGAGGGCAGCTTCTGGAAGCAGACAGGACAGTGGGGGCCCAAACCCTGACTCCCTCAGCCCAGAGCTGTGTCCTCTCTGTGCTGCCCCATTTTCCTGCCGTGTGAAATGAGGACAAGCACACCACCAGCGTGCAAGGGTAAAGGGTGTCCCTCCCTGTGCTAGTGCCTGGCCCTATTAGCACTGGGTGCACAGGGATAGGTGCTCACTCCCAGCCGCTTGGGCTGCAGTGCCTTAGGATTCGGTGACTCCAACTTTCTGCTGGCCATGGTGAATGACCCAGCTGTCCAGCCTGGACCAGCCAGTGCCCGGCCGAGGCTGAGCCCCGGGCTGGGTTGTGTGCATAGCCCGCCTCCCCGCCCACTCTACCTGGCCTGGGGTCTCTGGGCTGTGCTGCCTCCCGGCGGTGCCTGCCCAGCTGCAGGCACTTAGCATTCCAAGCCCTGCTCCCATGCTTTATTGCCTTTTCCAAGTGCTGGCAGGTGCGGCTGCAGTATGCGCACCGGCCCGGAGCTCCTGGCTCTTGGCATCGGAGATGAGAGACCTGTCACCCTTGGATTCATGGGCCGGCTTTGGGAAGCAAGCATGCTGGGGCATTTCTGCATGTTGTGGCCCGTTTTTCTCTGCTTAATTCCTCATTCCTGCCCAGTAACCCCTGGTCCTTCCCACCGCTTCTTCTGCATTTCCTACGAGATGCTGCTCGACGGCCCTGCCTCCTGGGGACCACACTGTCACCCACACTGGGGTCGCTGGGGATCAGCTGGGCCAGACCCGCCACCTGCACCTCAGTTTGTCTTTTCCTTCCCAGTTCCCAGGGTTGGGTACCGTCTGATGGGGAATTTGCGCCATTTGGAATGTTTGCATGACGTCATTGTCAGGTCACCACCCACCTCAGGGACAGTTCCTTTTATTTGGATGGCTTTGTTTGTTTTTTGAGGAGTGGGGCGGAGCCCTCCCGGCATAATGGTTATTCATTGGGGTGCTAACTGCAAGGTCATCAGCTCAAAACCTCCAGCCGCTCCGCAGGACACAGGGCTTTCTACTCCAATAAGGAGCTGCGCTTTTGGAAATACAGGGGGCACTTCTACCCTATGAGTTGGCATGGCCTTGGTGGCAGCGGCTTTGTAGTTGGCATGTCCTGTGTGTGGTGGGGGAGGCTGGACAGAGGGCTGGAATGCTTTTGGAACGGTTTGGGTCATTTCTTGCTCTCTGCCTCCTTTCTGGGTTCTCTGGAATAAGACCTCTCAAACAAACCCATTGCACACCTGTGGGCGCAGGGCCAAGAAAATTAGTGTTTCATCGAGGATGCATTGATATGAGAAGTGAAGTACAGCAGACTGGGGGCACAGTGGGCACCATGCTGAGCCCACCAGGATGCCAGGACTGTTATGCCTGGTCTCTCCTTAATCTTGCAAAGCAGGTCTGAGCAACTCTATTTTTCAGACAAGAACCCAGAGGCTGAGGGGTCAAGGAACCTGCTTAAGATCACACAGCTAGAGAGGACTGTCGGGAAATTCGGTGGCTAGAAGATTGCAGAACTGGCCCTACGCAGAGAGTGGGGTGCAGGGGGCTGTGATGGAGCTCAGGGGCATGTGCACGTTGCATGCCTGTCTCGGCCTGGCAGCACCCTGGAAGGTAGGCATGGCTGTTGTCCAGGAGAGTCACAGATGAGGGTGCTGCCCCCAACCAGTTGGTAGCCTTGGGGGGGCAGTGGTACAGCTCTCACTGGACATCCCTGTGCCCACTGCCTCCCTAGCCGAGTGGCCAGCTTGGAGACTATCCCAGCCCTACATAGCCTCTGCCTCACAGCACCCCACATGGTGTTTCTGAGAAAGATGAGCAGAGGACCTCCTCATCCTCCACGGAGCAGCAGGAGGGTTTGAACCATAAGCCGTGTGGTTAGTGGCCCAATTCTCACCCCAGGGCCCTCAATCACTCCTGCCCAGCACATGCCACACCCACTACAATCAAGTTGATTCCAACGCACAGAGACCCTCTGTAGAGTTTCTGAGACTACAGATCTTCATGGAAGACGGCCTCCCTTTTCTTCCCTAGAGCAGTTGGTGGGTTTGAACTGCCACCCTTGTAGTTAGCAGCCTGATGCTTCTTCCACAGCCTCACCAGGTCCCCTGGCCCAGCACATTGTAGTATGTCATACTGTGCTGCTATCATAGGGCTTGGGAGGACAGCTCCTTCCCTTCTAAGGGAACAAACAAAGATCTGGGGTTCTCAGTGGATACCACCCGTGGGGTTCTGATCTGTGAGGTGGCTTACACAGCTCTGAGTTCCTGCCATAGCAGGAGAGAGCCTTAAGCATGCCCTCTCCTTATGTGCAGTGCCCGTGCCTCCCTTGCTCCTGGTTCAG